TAGGGACGGCTAGCGCAGATAGCCTTCGTGTAGCTTTGCGCGAAATTCAAAAAACAAACAAACAAAATATATTTCGAATGAAATGTTATCAAGAACTAGAATAAATGGAGACGAGCGGGCAGACTGGCCTGAATATAAAAGAAGCCATAGATAGAAAGAAAGAAATTTACAGCAAGCATCAAACTACAAATACTGCCGTTTATAGCTGAAACATTCAGATTATCTGTTAACTTAAAATCGGACGAAGTTTACTGGAATCATGTTAATAATGCATTTAATCATAATTCATTAAAGTACTTGAATGCTCTAAATAAGTATCTAACAGAAATTATTAGCACAATTTTTGTGTGTGATGGTTTATATTACCTGAGTTCACAGCAACTTCAGTAACAAAGTAAGAGCCATGGGTAATTCATCTGAAAGCCTTACAATTGCTCATAAAATATTCTTCGATCTGAGAAAGAAAAGTAACAAAATCAAATATGTAACTTAAAGTAAACGAGGAAATACATTAAGATAACGATAATATCAGCTTTATACTATTGTGATACTATTATTTCTACATGTAAATGTTTATTTGAGGTATTATTTCTTGACAATAGTGAAAGTTTATTTAAAACTTTATTTTCTGTTATTTGCCTGGCTCTTAATTGTCCATCCTCAAAGGAAATTAATAGCTATTATTTTTTTAGTTGATATATTCAGATTCCAAACGTGTTTTTCAGAAAACCAAACAGAAGATTTAGAGACGACAGTTGTGCGCTGTAAACCAGACGGAATCGAAACCCTCTGTCGAACGACAAAGTTTAGTAAAAAAGAGCTAAAATTCATGTACCAAGGATTTAAACAGGTTAGTAATTAGTACATAAATGATTTCTAGTCTTTTTTTGAATAAAAAAACATTAAACAGGAAAACATATTCTAAGAACATGGAATACTTTATTTTACCACAAAAAGTAAAAGAAACACATGGAACACTTTATTTTACCACAAAAGGTAAAATATTCATATGGAACACTTTATTTTACCACAAAAAGCAAAAGAAACACATGGAACACTTTATTTTACCACAAAAGGTAAAATATTCATAAGGAACACTTTATTTTACCAAAAAAAAACAAAAGAAACACATAGAACACTTTATTTTACCACAAAATGTAAAATATTCATATGGAACACTTTATTTTACCAACAGAATGGTAAACGATCTATATGAAACATTTTGGTTCGCCAAAATATAAAAAATCTTTATATGAAATACTTTTTTTTACAAAGGCATAAAATTCATACGAACCTGTTGATTTTA